ACACACACACACACACACACACACACACACACACAGAGAAATGAGGGCAAAGGAGCAGCAGAGTCATACATCAGTGCTCGGATGATTATAGATTCTACCACTTTCATTTTCAACGCTGGCATGAGGATAACATTTCTGTCCTTGAATGCCAACTGCAGGTTGGTTATAATTTAGAGGCTCCGTCCTCTCCTCCTCATTTATTCTCTTTGTCTTCCTCATCCCTCTTTCTCTGGCGTCTTTCCTTCACACAATTGCGCTCATTGGCTCCATATGTCTCACCTTCTCCCCCTTTCCTTCTTTCCCTTTTCTACCCATCCCTCCTCCCCTCCCAGTATGGTGCGGGAGCCAGAGCCAGTGGAGCAGCAAGAGGAAGCCAGGCCATCTGCGGCGGTAGAGGAGGAAGAGGAAGAGGAGGTGGCTGAGGAAGACGAGGTGGAGGAGGAGGAAGAGGATCTACTTGACAATGACCAGGACGGAGACGGGGAGGAGGATGAGGAGGCAGTAGAGGAGGAAGAAGAGGAGGATGGTGACGACGACATTATCGACGCACTCGGCGACGACGATGCCGACGAGCCCACCACAAACGTTGCCATGACAACCACCACCACTACCACCACCGAGTCTGTGGAGGAAGTTGTCCGGGGTGAGGAACTTGCATGGTTTAGTTAACAGGGTTCGTGAACATGATCAGATGACGTGTTTCTTTGGGTTCAGATTAATGTGGAACAAGCTGCAACATGTACAAATGTGTTTTGCACATTTTTTCATGATTTTCTAGACACAGCCCAACCTCACACTCCTCACCAATTAATATCCTGCTGTCATTTTTCTTATTGTGCTCATTTGTCATTTCACAGCGCTCATTAGCTACGTTCCGTTAGAATCAGAATTGGTTGTACCAGCTTTGTTTTTTCATTTCAGTGTTAAATTGTTCTTACAATCGGTTCTGGCTTTCTTCACACACCCTGTTCTGTAGCATCATGCATTTTATTTCTATAACATGTCCTTTTTTTTTTATAGGTGAACACAAGATCTTTACAAAGGCTTTGATAAAAAGCCTGACATTGTGTATCGTGAGCTCAAGTGCCTGTGTGTGTGTGTGTCATCCAAGATGTGTGCTGGGCCAACGCAGAGACTGGTCCGTGCCGGGCCATGCTGCCACGCTGGTACTTTGACCGACAGGACGGCCGCTGTGCTCAGTTTATCTACGGCGGCTGCGGAGGCAACAGGAATAACTTTGAGTCAGAGGAGTACTGCCTGTCTGTCTGCAGCAGCGTCAGTAAGTCCTGCTCACATCTGACCGGCAGCTCGCCACTCTCAGTAGTAGTCGTTTTCCTCTCCAGCTCGTCCTTCTCCCTCAGCTTTCCTCGCTGTCAACCGAGCTGTCTGCTTGGTATAAACAGCAGAACGTTCTCGCTTGGTGTGCTTCTCCTGTCGACTCCTGTCCTAGCTAACGTTTACTTATTCCTCGCCGGTGTGCGTGTGTCTGTGTGTGTGTGGTACTTTCAGCAAACAAAGCTGTTTGCACTAAAAATAGACTTTACCTTTCCCACAATCCTTTGCAGGTTCTCGATGCCACCATCCTGATCCCCTGTGCACTCACTGTCGCCTTTGCTTTTACACCCAGTACTTTTACTCAAGTAGATATATACATTTTTGAAATACCGGTATGTATTTTCTACTCCACTGCATTAATAAACAGTTTTAGTTACTAGTTACTTTAAGAACTAGATTTTGCACGATGGATAATATGACAAGCTTTGTGGTTTCCAGCATTTTTTGCTTCATACAAATACAGTGTATAGACAGGGTCACACTTCATATCACTCTGACTTGCTAACAGTGCCACCAAATAGCGATTTTTTTACCCTCTGTTATTTCAATAAATGTTGAAACGATCCAATGTCACAGCAAGAGCAAATATTGGAGAAAAACTTAAAAAAACCTTTTTTTAAAAGAACTTTGATTTTTCTTCTTTCCTCTTCTATCAATCATCTCACAACCCCTCAGAGCACAAGCACGTTAAATAAAATAGATTTAAGAGATTGCTAAGCTAAATAAAGTAGTGAACCACTGCCAAACAGCATGTTCCAGTAATAGTGGTCATTTTCATGGACAATTTGCTTCAGTGGCTGACTGATTTTTTTCACATTACCATGGTTACACGGTTGTTTCCCTATAGAGCATGAACAATAACTATGATCATTTCTGCGATTACAGTCGTTTCATTGGCATCGCCTCATACTTTAGCATGAAAACGAGCTGTAAAACCATCCAGGCAGGAATTATTTTTTGCAATAATCCTCACATCACGGCACATTATCCTTTGCATTCCTGACACGTGCCGGGCTTGCTTACATTATTCCCTCCTTATCACCGAGGGAACACGTTCAATTGACTTAAATCGGGTGTCACATTAGCCTCCTGCAATTTTGAAGATGTGAGACGTTTCTTAGGCAGCAGTTAAGGAAGAACTCATCAATACATCATTACGTGCTCTCAGCGAATACCTGCCTCCTACATCACATTGTGATGATTGATTAGCAGCGGCTACAGGGAAAATGGGGAGGACAGCTGGAGGATGGTTCCCACCTTGTCAATATGTTTGGAATTTCTAAATAATAAAGACTTCTCCGATCATTCAGTCACAAATGGAACTGATTGGATTTGAAATGTGCGTGTGTGTGTCTGTGCATGTGTGCAGATGGGGGCTGTATGTGATGGCGGGGAGCGGAAGGCGGTTTGAGTGTTTGGCTCTGATGCTGATTTCACACTGTGCGTGCGTGCGTGCGTGCGTGCGTGCGTGCGTGCGTGCGTGCGATCTGCCCTGCAGCAAAATGGAGTCATGCTATATTTTGATCTAATTCTATCCTCTGTGTGTGTATTAATATGCATGTGTGTTTGTGATAAGGGATTTCTGCCCCGCGTAGAATAGTGGAAATGAGAAACTGCTGCAGTGTCTAACCCACGCCAACACACGCACACACAGACAAACACACATTTGTTGTGAACTGTTCAATTAACATTCAATCACGGTAGGTCTTAGAGTAAAATGAAATATATTCGTATGACAGATAATCACATGATAATAATAATCCATGTAATTCTTATACAGAAAAAGCTACTTTTCTGTCTTTGTTCTATATCTGTTCTATATCTGCCTTTGCTCCCACATTATATTAATTCAGTCTTTGTCCAGTTAATGAAAGATTTGTCTTTGCCAAAAATCTCTCCCACTCTCACTATTGTAATTCTCAACCTGAGAGTCCTAATTCCCATGGGGCTCGTGAGATAATTTGTAGGCATTGCCAGATAGTTGTGGAGCAAAAACATGATATAATATATTCAATATAAAAAGACATATTTTAGACTTAGAGTAGTTGTTACATGTAATTGTCTGCTTGTTTGTGGGAGTCCAAGTTAGACCCTGACCCTGAATCAGGAGTTCATGCAACATCTGCGTGTGGCGGCACAGGGGATTGATATTTTTGATGTTTTTGACTCTGCATCTATTATTATCTATTGTGGCAGTTTTTAGAAAAAGTAATTTACATTTCCATACCCCCTATGCTAAATAATTTGTTTCACTGAGTGATTTTTGGAAGGCATCCATATAAAATGGTGCAGCAGGAACAGGCAGCAAATAGGGACTAAGGAAAACTGTGCTTTGATTTGTGAAAAATATACAGTGCAGAGTCGATGGCTGTGAACGCCTCACAGCAACGCCAAAAGAAAAAAATTGAGGTAATGGATTGACACTTTAAGGGTTTACTAAATGACCAAATTACAATTTAGTCTTGGATTATCTGACAAATACAGATTTTAACCTCCTCTCAACCCACTGCAGACTATGATCTCTAATCCTGGGCGGATAAAACCGTTGTCATGATACGAGCAGAAGAAGTGAGGAAACAGTTGTTTTTAAAAAAAAATGGTTTTGAGGAACACAGGCTGACACAACACCCGGGTCAGAGTGAAAACATCTCTCCTTGTGCTCTCTCATCAGACATAACCAATCTCACATGATGTGCGACCTTCACGCGTATGCACACACTGGCTGGCAAACACATTTAACAGCACACTCATGGAAGATAATCAACTTTCCGCTGATTAAAACTACGTTTCACACAATATAATAAGATGATACAGTTCGCTGGCGAGTCGACCACAGCTTGGTCTGTTCTCTGGAGCCCACAGCCTCAGTGTTTTTTTGGCAGGAGAGCAACAATCACACTTTGAATGAAGTTATATAAGTGAGAGATGAGTTTTTGTCTTTTGTCTCTTTTCTACAAAGGGCCACAGGTCAGCTGAGGCGTGTTTGCTTTTGGAAGGTGCTGGCTTCCAGCTATGACTGCTATCTTCTTGTCTTATCTCTCCTTTTGGTCTCGCACTAACCCTTTTAACCCATTTCGGCCTCTTGTGTTTTGTGTGTGTCCCCGACCGACCAACTAAAAAGAGAAGGTGCTCCAGTGAAAAGCTTTTCACCTCCCTGCCTCCTCTTTCTCTCTCTCTGTCTCTCTCTCTCCTCATCCATTCCCTGCAGTACCTACTGCCACGCCCAGCTCTCCAGACGCCGTGGACCACTACCTAGAGACACCCACCGACGAAAACGAACACGCCCACTTCCAAAAGGCCAAGGAGAGCCTGGAGGCCAAGCACCGTGAGAGAATGTCCCAGGTACTGACGGAGAAGGGAGAGGAAGGATTTTTTTACTGTTAATATTTTAAAGCTGATCAGCAGAACAGAAAGGAGGATTTTCTTTGTTGCAGGAAGAGGACAAAAGATTTTTTAATGAATAGAATAAGGAGAGGAAAGAGGTGTGGCGAGTAATAAATGAAAAGGTGCGTTTGTTAATCCCTCCCGGGTAAGCCGACTGAGCCATTTCGACTTTAATTGTATTCTTTAATCAAGCTGCTCGCTCTCCGGCAGAGAGCCAGATGGTCCTCGGCAACATCGCAGTTTTCAAAACTCCGTACTCTAACAACCTTCCACGGCCCTCAGATCAACCCTTTTTTTTGGAGTTTGTGCTCCACTTTGGTGTCTTTGTTTTGCTTGGGGAGTTCCAGGCACAGCGTCCTCTGATTTCACACACTTGACTTCACCCTCACAGATACTGTTAGGTCATGTCTGAAGAGGCCCGAGCCGAATAATGGAAATTCCCCCAGTGAGTCAGAGAGGATGGAACAGAGGAAGGATGTACAATCATATTGTTAAAGGAGAAGGAATAAGCAACAGGAACAGTTAAATTTGAGACTCTTAATGTCACTTTAACCTTGAATATGAAGCAAAACAATTTCCATATATCAGTATGTAGAATCTGAAGTGAAAGCCATGAAAAATGTCCAAAGTAATGCGGATATTTAGCAAAGAAACCTTTTTTGTTTGGGCCTCTCGTCCATATGCACAAAGAGCAATGAGATGTTTGGTCAAGTGTAAAATTAACCTGTGAAAAGATAAAAGTTGATTGACAAGTGTAATTAATGTTTCCTTCCTTTTTTGTCCTGAGGTGATGAGAGAGTGGGAGGAGGCTGAGAGGGAGGCCAAGAATCTTCCACGTGCTGACAAGAAGGCTGTCATCCAGGTAAGACGAGCACGAACCGGACAATATAATAAATCACCCCAAGAGTTTTTTTTTCTCATGTGCCCTTTCACCGCTCCATGTTGTGTCTGTGTGTGTTTGTATTCATGCAGCGTTTCCAGGAGAAGGTGGAGGGGCTGGAGCAGGAGGCAGCCAGCGAGCGCCAGCAGCTGGTGGAGACCCACATGGCCCGGGTGGAGGCTCTGCTCAACGACCGCCGTCGTCTGGCTCTGGAGAGCTACCTGACTGCCCTGCAGCAGGACCCACCCAGGGTACAGTCAATAAGCACAGACCACTCTTTACCACTCTTTACCACACTCACTTAACCTTAGAGTTTAATATTTTCCTGCCATTCCCCAATGTGAAATGATAACTAAACCAGACCACATTTAAATCCATGACTCTCACCGTCTCTTCCTGCAGCCTCGTCACGTCTTCAGCCTGTTGAAGAAGTACGTGCGTGCCGAGCAGAAGGACAGGCAGCACACCCTCAAACACTTTGAACACGTCCGCATGGTGGATCCCAAGAAGGCAGCGCAGATCAGACCCCAGGTAAGTTCACTCTGGTAACCTCATTTCAGGAGGCAGAGCGGGTCGTTGATTTTGATTCCTTAACGCTGTGCCAGCAGTGTGTATGCTGTGAGAGATTGAAAACCCTGAAAGATAAATTCATTCCATTTATGGTTCATTTAGTTATAGATCTATACTATATGATTCTACTTTTTACGATCTAACCACAATGCAAAAATCCACATTTTATGTGTGTTATACAGGTGCTGACCCACCTGCGTGTCATCGAGGAGCGTATGAACCAATCTCTGGGACTTCTCTACAAGGTGCCCGGCGTGGCCGACGATATCCAGGACCAAGTCGGTGAGTTTGTCATTTCGACACTTAAAAAAAAAATCAATCCAATATCCAGACTAGCATAATGTAATAGAAGCGAAAACAAGACTGGTGGAAGTCAAGAGCATTTAATGAAGGGACAAGAAAATACAATAATTCAGATTGAACACAACCCTAGATCTTGTTAACATGAATGTTGGCTGTGTTTCATATTCACTGTGTAACTGCTGACCCTGACACCAGAGAGATATGGCAGGAGACAAACTGTCCTGGTTGTGCTACATGCGATGGAGAAAATGCTCCAAATTCCAGCCCCCGGAAAATACATTTTATTTGTTGATAAGGGCATTGGAGCAATTTGTCCTAATCCCTCTGTTCAGAAACAAATGAAACTGTACTGCCGGGAAGATAAATCCTCCCTTCCTCCCCCAAATGTCCCTGCATTAGGTTTCTGTGGGTTTTTTGGGTTTACTGGAGTTGCGTGCGTCACGCAACCATCTGTGTTTCTGTCTTGGAGACTGTCACAGTCTGTGCTGCCCGGCAAAACACACCCACAGGAGCAAACACACTCGGCCATTCAGACATTACTGGGAACCAGGTCTAATAAAGAAATTGAACTTAACATTCCGTGGAGGCTTTATGTTCATGAGTCACTGCGTAGAATATGATTTTCTTTCAGCAGAAATATACACACTGGCAGTTCTATATTCTGATGACCACATATGTTTTTCTTTCATCATACAGAATATTTTACAATGACAGAATTTGCCTATGATTCGAGTTACAGGGAGCTAAGTAAAAAAAGAAAATGGTCATCCTGAAACATAATTTTTGTTACAAGGAAAGACATACTAACAATATTTTTTATGATATCCTGCATTTGACGTCGTTGCCATCCAATGCCACCAGAAAACAGCCCCTCCGAAAGCCACTTTGTAATTCGCACGCTGCTTCTCACCTCTCCTTCCTTCCTCCTCATGTCTGTCCATCCAGAGCTCCTGCAGAGGGAGCAGGCGGAGATGGCCCAGCAGCTGGCCAACCTGCAGACAGACGTGAGGGTGAGCTACGGCAACGACGCCCTGATGCCCGACCAGGAGCTGGGAGACGGCCAGACTGACTTCTTGCCCCAGGAAGACACTCTGGGCCTGGGAGGCGTCGGCTTCGTTCACCCTGAGAGCTTCAACCAGCCCAACACCGAGAACCAGGGTACGTACGGACGCATAAACATGAATAACATCAGCAGAGAGCAGCAGCTACAGTTTGGTTGTTTCAAGGTTGATTGACATTACAAACAAAAATGCTACGAGGTAGTCAGCATTCCTCTTTTGGCCTTGAAGGACTAAACATTGCTTGCAAACAAAATGATTTAAAAGTTAAATCTCTCTCTCTCCTTGTAGTTGAGCCAGTGGACTCTCGCCCTAATCTTGACAGAGGCATTCCCACACGACCAGGTTGGTTCTATTGTTTAAAAAGTTCTCCCGTATTGTGATGTTAAGTTTGAATATGCATTTAGATCATGAGATAGACGGGGATTAGGGCCTGTGGATATTATACTGTTGACTTTGTCACATTGTCCTTATCAGGTTGCTACAGCAACTGTGGCACTTTCTTTAGAACTCCATATCAGTGTTTGCTTACTTGTGCTTGAAACAGCTCGATATTAAGAAACGCACCCCCTGGTGGCCATACTGGAGGCCACATATGAGCCATAGGATTAAATTATAAATACATAAGAAGCTCTATTCTTGAGATCCATCATACAACTTGAGTAAAGTCAGGAAAATATTTTTCTGCCACGTCGCCCTCCTTCCGCTTTTATTTGCCCACAGCCAGCTCCACTTGACCTCCATTTAGGCGCCCGCTGCGGTTGTCAGGGGATTTCTGATGCAGCGGCAGGGTCTATGCATACTGCAAATGCTGTGCTGTATGCGCCATATTCATTTCATGCCTTGGTAACATCCAGTGCTCCTCCAGCGCTGTCAAGTCCTGCTCGAGCCAGCGAGTTTGATTTCAGCAAGTTTGTGTGTGTGAGGGATGAGAAAGCGGCTGAGTGTCACCATCCATAATGGATACAGTACTTTTTCCTTCGCTTTGCCAGTGACTGGAATGAAGATGGAAGTGTTCCCTGAGCTGCGGATGGACACAGAGGACAGACAGAGCACTGAATATGAAGTTCACCACCAGAAACTGGTAAACAGACACACACAGACACACAAACAAGCTCACTCTGGCATAAACAGTGCAGGTATGCAGACTCATCTGAATCTCACTGAGGTGTGGAAACATGCAGGCTAATTAATAAACATAGAGAAATCGACAAACACGTGAGGATGCATTTCATGATGCATACAAAGACACACACACACACACACACAGTCTCAGGTCCATGTTTCTACTTTGTCCTCCATGTAAACTCCCAAGGTTGTCACCACGGAGACAGGTGTCCATCGAGACAGCCGCGATCATGTGCATGTCATGCTTTCTGTACTGTTCTGTGATCAGAGTTAAGTTTTGTGCTGTTTTTTTCATCAGTCAGCCACAGGTTGTTACACAAAGCGTAACAAGGCTCCAACCCAGTTCTGCGTTCATTCATTAATCTCATCCAACATTGTAATACCAGCACAAAAAAACCTGAATCCATGCTCAGTCTAATTATAATCCACGTACCTTATCCCTTTCACCTAACGGCTTTAATCCCTTAATCCCTACTTTTTATTACGTATCACATTTCTTACATTCACAAGGAGCATTCAGTGTGACAGTGTGCCCCCACTAAACCGCTTTTTTTCATATTCACTGTTACCCTGATCGGCGTCCTGCAGGATTATTGTGGACGCTCACCAGCCTGAAATTAAATCCCGGCTCTTTAAAGCATAAAAAATATTTTACTTCCACCCACCAGGGGGCGATCAAGATGGTTTGGCTTCATTTTGGGGGACCTATCATGTATGACATCTTTATATACAGTCTGTGATTGACACAAATGTCAAGACAGGTGGAGACATCATGCGCTTGTGTGCGTCCCTTCACATAACTCCATTTACTTATATTTATTCTCACACAGAGTGGCAATAGCCCTCATTTGTTTTCAGGAATCTCTTGTAATTAGGTGTATTTCCATTGTGTTGTGTTGGAGTTGAGTCGTGTTTCTTTATGTCGTAAATCAGCAGAAGGAAAAAGAAAGTCAGCCCCAGGAAGTCTCTTCTAAAATAAGTGTTTGTTTGCGTTGCCTCTTTGTTCCTTCAGCAGCACATGAGTTATTTATGGGTCTGATTTGACTCTTTTATGATTTTAAAAATAGATAGCAAATGTAATTACACCAATCATCCACTGCAAAATGAAAACTGGGAAGAAAAAGGAGCATCTGTTTGAGGGAAGTGACATTAAAACCAGCACAGTTAATGTAATAATGAATTCATCTAAACTATTTTTATCAGACGTAGAAAGACAGAAATGTAAAGAAAAGTCCTTGATGTTGATGAATCGTCAGATTTTAACTGTGACTGACACATCCTCCGTCCTCCCATTGCCACAGGTCTTCTTCGCAGAGGACGTGGGCTCCAACAAGGGCGCCATCATAGGCCTGATGGTCGGCGGCGTTGTCATAGCGACAGTGATCGTCATCACCCTGGTGATGCTGAGGAAGAAGCAGTACACCTCCATCCACCACGGAGTCATTGAGGTGAGAAACGGATGACCTGTGTGTTTGCATGTGCCGGGTAGAAGCTGTCCCTTCAAGCGGCAGTCAATCTGGTGTGTTGCGAGCGTGATGCTGTGCGTACACGTGTGAGCTCAAGCTGTCTGTCAGGTAGAGACACTGGTGCATGTAGAGATCAATCAGTCGATGTGTTAGGGTTAGTCTTTTATCATTTCAAAGCTTTTATTATCTCTTTGATTAAAAACATACTTTAGTCTGTGTTGTCATTTTACTTTTGTCAATTAAAACAACATTAAATATGTCTTAAAATGCAGATTCTTAAGTAGAAAAATCTACTTAAGTACAGTAATGAACCTTCACCCCCTCCTCCGGCTCCCCTCCAGGTGGACGCGGCCGTCACCCCCGAGGAGCGCCACCTGTCTAAGATGCAGCAGAACGGCTACGAGAACCCCACCTACAAGTTCTTCGAGCAGATGCAGAATTGAGAACACACACACACACACACACACACACACACACACACACACATAAACACACATACATCTCCCCACTTATCATGCACCCACCCTCCCCCATCCTCCCCCCTCCCAACTCGTCCCGATGTGGCTTAGATCATAGAGTGACTGAAATAGTCAGTTACGAGCGACTGCAGTCAGGGGTTTGTTTTCTGCCTGGGCGGACGCCGCGGCCAAATCAGTTTGCACCACGTTTGTTCACTTTATCGGAGCAAGTCGCCTTTTAATTCAAGGAAAATGGGGCGGGGGGTGGGGTTTATATGTTTGCTCCGTCTGGGCCTGCTGATGTATAGAAGTGAGGCCCCCGCCCAGTGCATCGAAACAAACCCACACACGGGGGAAGGAAGCGGCTTCTCTCCACACTGATTCAGGGCCAGTGTATAGTTGGGGTTTATTTTACATTTCTTACTTGTTTCTGGCCTGGGAAAGTTTTAGGTGTTGACTTGTGTAGAAATCTGACCTCTGATCAGTCGGACATGAGGTGCACGCTGACCTGGGCCTCGTCTACAGGAGGCGTGCAGGAGACTCCATCAAATCAATCAACATTGGTTTGTTCCTGTCATATTCTTTGTATTGATTATATAGAGAAATATAGATTAGAATCAAGCAACGTGATTTCTGAGGATGAGGCCCAGTGGTTCCCCTCAAACTGCACCACTACTGCACTCACTCTACAGTCTACACTGGAGTATAAGTGATCCTCCTCTCCCTCCCCTCCTCCTCCTTCTTCATTCCTCCCTCCATCCTCTTTTTCTTTTTGTGCATTCTTACGACAGCTGGGCTGTGTTAAGCCACACAAGGCTCTTAAAGGATATTCGGGGATGCTAATGTTACGATGTATTCTGAATGAGCTGTTTTTATTTTAGGGTTTTCTCTCTTTATCGTTTCCGGTTTTGTTTTTCAAAAAAAAAAAAAAAAAAGATCAGCCAATGTAAAGTCCTTTTTTTAAATTGCGTGTAATGTTAACTGAAGTAATGCTCAAGTCTTAGCTGTTCCTATGTAGTGCATGACGACAGGATTTGGAAAAACTGAAAAAAAAAACGAAGATCTTAACGCTGCTCTCTCTCTCTCTCTCTCTCTTTCTCTCTCTCTCTCTCTCTCTCTCTCTCTCTCGAGATACTTTTCTCACATATAGATTGTCATTCTAGCAAGATTGTACATTTAGTATCTTCTCGTGATCACGTGACTTCAAAACAATGATGAAGAATATATATAAATCTAGATGAACAGGCTCTGCTTTGATATCATGTAAAATACACATTTAAAAGAGATCTGTGATTTTGGAAATTAAGTGTGTTTGTCATTTCTTTTTAATTATTATTATTTTTATCATATGCTATGTTCCTGAAGCTGCAGGAGAGGTGTTGGGGGGGTGCTGGTTTCATCTGTTTGTATATTATTCTCTTATCTGAAATACATTGTGTAGAAAATCCTCATGCATAGTGAGCGTTCAGAAATCACCCTATTTCAGTTTTGTCAGATTCATGTTGGCGTGTTTTTTATTTTAAAGGGCATGTTATGGGGGTGATAGTTACAAGGAGTGGGGGAAACGGACAAATAATAGAAGGCAGGATGGGGGATGGGTAAGAGTTATCCCTGCGTGTGCGTGTTTTGTCATTTTCTGTCGTGTTTCTTTGTCCAGTTGTAAGCCGACGTCGTTCCTCTTTCTTTTTTGGGGGTTTGTAATCATTTCGCTTTCTGCTGATAAAACAGGTGAAGTGCTGAGAGGAGGAGGAGAAGGAGGAAGGAGAGCGAGGTAGAGAGGAAATGACTTGCAGTTCCGGATGGATAGCCAGCCAAGCAGGCAGTCTGTATATATAATGGATTTTCACTTCCCCCAGCACCTCCCTTCGCCTTCCTCTTCCCTTCAAGCACGCTGCTCACCTCTCGCCATCAACGCACACTTGACTCCTGCACAGCGCTGGAGTATTTAACTAATAGGCATCAAGAGAGCTGAGAGCAAGTCAGGGGGTTAAAAGCAGGGACCAGGTATTGGTTTGAGGTAAATTCATGCTTGTAGCCAAGAATCGCACCCCCCCTTGTTCATCTCCATGCACTCAACTCCTGCCACAGAGTCAACATCATCTCAGCATCACAAGAAAAAGTGTGGCGTGACCTCTCACTCTGTTTATGCATCTAATGGCGAGTAAGATCTGCGAGAAAGTGACACGTGAATGTGCATGTGGTGGCTGCAGTGAGGTGGTGGTCTTTTCAGAGGGTGCTCATTAGAAGCCCAGCAGGGGGCAGTAGAGTAGAAGAGGAAGCAGGATTTATCTTTCCATCTCTTTTTTTTTTTTCACGTGGGTAATATATTGGTTTTGTTTTCCACTGTGTAATATTGTGCAGGCCATTTGCATTGACTGGGAAAACGCTTTCTACACTGTATTCCATAATAAAGTTTTGAATGTACATACAGATGCTGTGTGTGTTGACTGTTTTTTATTCAAACAGATGAATCCAAAAGCCACCAGCTAAAGATTGAATTATTTTTACATCACATTGAAACCAAATCCGTGTTTTAAGTGCTCAAGTGGTAAATTAAATATAAAGTTGTATTGTCACAATGTAAAAATACTCCATCGTGTTTACAATCTTTCTCAAGTATCAAGCAAAATATACCTAAAAGTAAAACACCCCCTCTGACTGCTATACATATCATTACATGTATATTGTATTACCAGATTCTAAATAGTACTGCATAAATGTGTGGAGAAAAAGACAGGAGGTTGGGTCATGTGGTTCCCAAGTTAAAGTCCAGGCCCCTCCACAGGGTTAAACGATCAGAGGAGTCACCATATGACGAGTGAGAATAGGGCTTGATTAGCTGCGTGTATTTAATCGTTTTCTCCCGTTGCTGGTTGATGAACTTCTGCAGTGATTATCACAAGGCAAGAAGCCACAGATTATGACAAAAAGACAATTTTTTTTAAAGATCTTTTTCAACAAAACATAGAAATAGACAATAGTGTAAAGAAACTGCATACATTCGAATGAATATGATAAAGTTTCAACATAGAACATTATATAACATAAATTTGCAATTAAATGTGTGTAAATGTTTTTTTATGATTTTATTGTTAGTTATATATTTATTATTCAATCAAAGCCGTTATATAAGTGCATTCTTGATTTTTATGTACAGAATAGACTCTGAAAGTATCTTGAATTGTTTCTACCTGGCTTTACGTGTGTGGAATTTCCCAACTGAATTAAGAAGTTGGCAGTGTACTGAAATATCTGTTTCACAAAATCTAGCTTTCCAATAGCTTGGTTTAGTTTGTGTTGCAAAAGAATCACTGACACCTTCCAGGAAGCTGCTGTGGGTCTAAATTCATTAAACATTCATAGTTTCCTCTTCAGTCTTCTGTTTTAAAGCCAAACCGAAAAACTTTTTTATTCAGAAGTGTCTTTCACTAAACAATTCTACAATGTCATCACATCATTGTATTTTATTCTACTTTTATTTGACCAGTTTACACAGTTCTATCAACTTTAAAATTGTAAATACAAATGTATCATTTTAATTTCTTTTTGAGCTCTTTACTTTTAAATTATTGTCCTTGTTATTTAGTCTCTGTGTTGTTTTAATGTCCCTGTGCAGCACCATGAAAAAAATCTACATTTATTTCATAATTGTTTTTAATTCTATATGATTTTTAGCGGAACCTATGAGCGGAACATATGTTTTGGATTATTTGAGGTTTGGGACGAGCAACACGTGCGCACCATAATGACGTCAGCTTCCGCTTCACCCCTTACCACCACATTCCCACAATCCACCGCGTGTCCTCCACTTCCGGCTCGCGTACGCTTGCGTGTCAAACCCAAGGTTAGTGCGAACTTTTTACATAAATGCTAAGTTCACTACACCCGTCGCCACCTCGAACACTTAGAAGCACGACCTCCTTCCTGCAGTGAGTGCAGCGTTAGCGTTAGCGCCGCAGCTAACGACAGGGAATAATGTCTAAGAGCCGTGTCGCGGTAGCTTAGCTCGTTAGCGCTAGCAGTTGGGGTGAATGAAGCAAACACTTAGCTGAAGGTGGGACAGAATGAAACCAGGCTTGTTTATAATTGTTATGTCACAAAGTCGCTATTTAGATGTAAACAAGCTAACTGGATCATTTTGACGGCAGCTAACTCATGATAACTGCTAAGCTAGTGCTAATGTGCTAACGTGAACTTGCTCCAGATGAGGGGAGGACATAGGACATAGTTTCTGTTCCATCATGGTGTCTAATAATGTGTGGCAGCTATTTCCTGCCGATGTCACGCTGTGCTTATGCAGAGGTCGGATCACACATTAGCCTGTTTCCACCCCAGACACAACCTTTACAGATTCAATAGATCGATCAATAGATCGAACAGGATCAGGTTATTTACCAGAAAGAATCATTGTCATCTTTCGTTATTACTCCATCTTTAATCAACATCCCATTGAGAGGGGAAGTAAACAAGTTCCACTGTCTCAATGTCCCTCTCACAGAAGTTACACGAGTTCCCAATTCACATTCACCTGTAAGAAATGAATGGTTGGATAAATGTCATTCATGTCCTGTTATGGTGACACAGGGGTCGGACCCCAGCCGCTTCTCCTGGGACGAGATTAACCAGAAGCCCTGTTTTCTCCTCCAGATGGCACTTCACAGGTTATTCCAGTTGTCCTCTGTGCTGCGCTCCGCCGTGAGCCTGACCCTGCGCAGGAACATCGGCCTCTCCGCTGTCCTCTTCAACCGGGCCAAGGAGCTCGATCCAGTCCAGAAGCTGTTCCTGGACAAGATCCGCGACTACAACAACAAGAGCAAGTCAGTTGAAGATACACAACATCGAACCCCTCGATTCTTTGAAAATACTCTTTGGATTTTACCTCAATTCTTAAACATTGTTTAATGCCATTACTCTCCCAGGACCTCCGGAGGCATTGTGGATGCAGGGGCCGCTTATCAGAAGAATCTGTCTGAGGAGGTCACCAAACTGCAGAGACTGTATGGTGGTGGAGACCTCATCAAGTTCCCAGAAGTCAAATTCACAGGTTAGTCAAAGCTCATGTTGGATAAAGTTCAGTGTTTCGTCTACTGACCTAATTGCTTCATGTTATCAATCAATAAGACAAAGAAATCAAAAATTTACAGTGTATTTAATTTAGTCCAAGATATCTAAAGAAACCAATTTGCTTTCAAAACTGAGTGTCCCCATAATAAAGCAGTGCCTGTCATAACACGACTGATGCTTGTACATGACTTAACAGTTATGTCCATGACTATTTACTCCCTTGTTGTTGGAAAGATCCATTGATTTCAGGCTTTGTTTGTTGATATAGTGTATGAAGAGCTTCCTTGTTAAACTTCTCTCAGAGGTTTCCAGACCCGTGGTTTTTGTTGAAGCTACAATTATTATTTGCGAAATACTGCTGCGACTTTTATCTCATTGTCAAATCTAATAGTAGTTATTGTTTTAAAGCTGCAGTATGTTTCATTTCAAAATGTTCACATGGCAACAACCGCCACTAACAGTTTTATTTTCTTCTTTCTTCCAGAGCCCAAGCTTGAAGAAGTGGCCAAGTAAACGCTGTCCATGTTGTAAATCCCCTACTTGTCACTAATATGTTGTATTTAATAAAAAGATAATGGAATCAACCATGTTTAAATTAAAGTTATCTTAAATCTATGGTTGTGTTTTCACAACATTCAAGATACAAGCGAGTAGGAATTTTTCTGTCTGTCTGCCACAGTCCAGAGGAAAAACCACAGGACTTGGAATGAAAAGTCACATGGTTCACATCCAGATTTAGTTTTTCTTGAAAAAAAGAACGTATGTGAAACGTTCTTCCACATGTACTGTCGCACAGCTGAGGGTGGACACTGAATGAAAAGTGGTCTAAGCAGATGGACGCTCATAAGAATCGAACCAGTGACCTCTGTGACCTCTGATCTAGAAGTCATCCTCCAACAGACTGAGTCATGTGGTCAGACACTTTCTGTTCCTTTCTTAGAAGCTTCTTGTCTAAGGTCCAGCCCCCAATGCAAAACACCCAATAATCTGTAGAATATGTTGATCATAGTTTTATAATATATGCAGAAAGGTGAAATGGCATAGCAATGGCATAAATATATATCAGAAATGGCATTGTGTGGCTCAGTGATCTCGGTGCATGGGTTCAAGTGTTGTTATTTACAACCAGTTTTAAACGGCAGAGTCAAATGCAAGTGTAAGAGTCAAACGGGGGACTTGGATCAAATAGCCCACTCTGTGAGGAGGCAGTTCTGAGGACATTGGTTTGAATCTTAAGAGTCACTTAGTTTGGTGTAAATTACCTAATGCAGTAAGTGTCTGAGCAAGTAGCGCAGTCTGTAAGGAGACTGACTGGCAGTTGTGAGGACCTTGGTTTGAATCTTGAAAGAGGTGCTTACTTTTGACATCCGTTACCCAATGGAAACAATCAAAGATACTGGAAGTACTCTCATATTACCAAAACATGCACATAAATATCGCTCTTTCATAGGTAAACGTTTACCTCAGACTGTAAATGGTGTGTTGTGAAAGAAAGTGGCCAATTCATCTTCAGATGATAACCGATGGGCCCAGAGATTGTTTTTTTTACCAACTATGTGTGAAATCACTCCATAATTATTATATCATTGCTCTCTGTTTATTGTCCTCAAAGTTTACCGCTCACCATGGAGCGAGCGATATCGCATCTGTTGCACAGGGATTAGTGAGTGAACGAAAAAGACGGATTTCGGACACAGTCCATATCTGCAGCGGTGCCTACATTGCAATGAATCCATCCATGAATTTTGCTGTGCCACTGTCTCGTCCATAACAAACACATTGAGTGCCCACACAGCGAGAGTCTGGTGAGCTCTGTAAACTCTGCCGATACAGCTTCATGACAAATATTTCTTGTTGGTTGGATGCAATATATTGTTTATGTAAACCACCGTCACTGGGGACAAAGTACAGAAGAAGAAACAGCCAGAAACCCATCGCTATAATATGAACAACCCTTGAGTAATTCTCAGGCACTGACAAATGAATCGATACCCACGATGAACCTTTGAGCTCGTAGTATTTACAAGTCACTGCACCACAGTAACCAACTCTTTTCTCAATAACTGATACTGAGTGTCATCATCATCATCATTAACTCCATCTTTTCAGCATCAGTAATCATTACAATGACAACACGGAGTGCACCAGTGCTCTCATTTGTGAAATAACCTTCTGTTTAATTGTGAGTATATAATCCCTGTTTACAGGAGTGTGATGTATGTGGCTCCCAAATTCAAATGTAAGCTTTTCAGAGTTATTCCTGGAACTGAAGCTAATTTCATCCTATTCTGACCTGCCTGGGAGACTGAGCGCACATCAAGCAATACCCACTCCTGCAGAGTTCACACTGGGAACACCACAGGTTT